ACCGTACAGAGCGTACAGGGCAATCACCGTACAGATCATACGGTACCGACCAAACCACCGTACCATACTGAATATATATGTATACTCGTAAAAATAGAGAATTTTGATTGAATGATTATCGTACAAAAAACGTTAACATCCAATAAACATGCTGTAAATGTTCAGAACAGAGTTGATTTTCTAAACAAAAAATCGAATGAATGAACTTTTCTATAGAGAATAAAGGTCTAGGATTGACCAAATTGCCTGAATCTTTTGCCCATTTGAGTTTATAGCATAGGATTATAGTATGATTCGCAGGACTTTTATGTTTTTGCAAATTTCATCTCGGAATGCTAATATATTTTTTTATTAAAAGGCTATCAAATAAGATTAAAAGATTTGTTAGAAGGAATCGACAACCTTAAAGCATTTATAAAATCCTATCAAAGTGTTTGGCAGAAACAATATTAGACTGTGTAATAAAAACCATATAATATTTGATGTATATTATTTGACTATTAATCTTTTAATAGGTTACCTCATAATACAAGATACTTTCTCTTGATTTTTTTTTACTATATTAGATAGGATAGTATTTTTTCACTTTAGAATTTGTGTTTTTATAATTTAAAATTATCAGCTAAAGGCAAGTTTCTAAAAATTTGACGATGGATATTATGATTTATTAAAATTGTTTTTTATATGCCGTGATGTTAATATTCAGTGTTTTATTGGTAATACGACAACATTGACTTCCAGAAAATAACAATACAAGGACTATATAACTATTAAATATTAGGTTGAAACAACGAATATCACTACTAATATTAAATGCAAACATATTCACACTCAAATATATAACTGATCTATTATACAAAATAAATTCATTTATATATATATCCGAAAATATAGTACGTATAAACTAATTAATCACGTTTTGTGAGCATTTTTATTGTCTTTATCGATATTTTTACATTGATATTCAGTAGCATATATAACAGTATTAATAAATCGTGAAAAGTTTATTGATGATTCTATAAAGTATACAGCACACGTATACCTACATGAATCCATTTGATTACCACATCATCTGGTTTATGACGACTATAAAAAAAAAAACCAAGAAAGGGTTTGTTCCTTCATTTTTTCGTTTTGCTGTCACCTAACTTAGAGCTTGGCTTCCAGTCCTCTCGTCTCTAGCAAAATATGGATAATACTTGATCTTACGGACTGAATGCTACAAATAGTAATCATATCATATACTAGCTTAGATCTCCTTTCAACTGTTCATTTGGGCATGTGGAACAAGATACTATCACAACTTTTATCCTTTAACTCCTAAGGCATTTCACGTCATTGAGGCTTGTGCTATATAACGACCTTTTGATTAGCATTGGCTAAGCTACCAGAACTGTTTCTAGCCAATAATTTTCGTAACAATGGCATATAATCAAATATTTTAGTATATAACGATAAGGTCATACAAAACTAATTTTTTGGTTTTCATAACTTAACCGTCTCAAAATTTTGAAAACATTTGAAAAAATTTTTATATGCTTTAATAACCAAGTGTACATTTTTTTTAAAAAAAATTGATATATATAAAATTTAAAAAAAAAAGCAGGTTTTAGAATTTTAATGTTATGGAAATCAAGAAATTAATTTTGTATGGCTAAAATGTAATTTTTATTATTATATATTTTTTTAAAAAAATTATGATTTAATAATTTTTTTTATGTCCCTTTGTTCTTAGTCTTCCTATACATAAAAGATCTACCTAGACTACGGTCGTATTCAACAGATACAATAAAGTTAGTGACAAGTCTTCAAACGTCTATACGATCAACGCAGAATATTTCAGTCTTAAAAAAAAATGCTTGAACCTAAATTTCCTGATGTACCTGAATTTGAATTTCCTGATATTCGAATACCTAAATTTGACTTTTCTGATGTTGGATCTTCCATTAGTACTATTGTAATGATAATAGTAATTTGTATGGTTGTTATCATCATTTCCTATTGCCTTATTACTGTCTGTACACGAAGAAGAATGTGCTGCCACGTGTCAGAGTGCTAGTACTACAGGTGTATCTGGACGAAATTTGGCAGTAAGAGTATTAGTAGCAGTAATGGTAGTGTTCATTATATTGTTTAATAATATTTTTTATAAATTCTAAGTGAATAGTAATTCAATATGATTATTTTCTTTAATGCTTTACCTGAATATTCAGTAACCCAAATTTTTGAAACATTTTATAACTTCTAATATGAAATAAATTCTTTTAGAATAATTATTACTTTTTTCAAGAGACAAGGTGCAAAATTCGATGAATATTAGGTGATACATTTAGAAAAAATTAAAATTCGTAATAGCATGTGATTTAGTTTAGTTATATGTTTCTATTTTAAAGTTCAAATAAATGTTAGAATAATGTTTTCGTATTTAAGTAGACTAAAAGGTACCAACAAATACAATGATTTTCTAAACTTAAGTTTTTAATATATGAACCTAATGAGTTCGGGTGGTTTTAAAAGTCCTATTATGGTTAGAAAAGAATTAGCATATATAAAAAATCATGGTAAATCTCTGAAATATGTCACAGAAAAAAATCGGTAAAGTTCATTGACGTTAAGGTTAGCGCTTACACTAGGATTAGATTAGCAATATAATAAAATTGGTCAAGAAAAAACTTTTTAATAAAACATTAAAGATGGTTTCTTATCTATTATCGTTATGCAGATTTTTGAGAAATAATCGACAAAGCGAACGTTTGTCCACGTTACACCTGATCTTGAAATCTGATTCACAATTTGGCACACGTTATAGGCAGATTAGCCATGTTAGGTATTGTGATCGCCAACTGTTTCTAGTCCAGCCTGAAAAGTCAAAATAAGGTGTAATTAAATTCCTTAATTTTCAGACAATGTTGAAGAGATCGGAATGGAACTCCTCCAGCGCAATCAACAAAATCCTCGGGCACGTGAGTGGCTGTGGCTTGTTCACTGTGACTTACGAAAAATTTAGCATTGATAAAAATGTAGCGTGCGTGTGTACGTACGTACGTATAATACTAGATTTTTAACAGGGTTATCCAGATAGTTTTGCTCATTATGCATTAAGTTACACCATAATTATTTCATGTGAATATATTTTTATCGAGTTTAAATTTTACAAGTGATTATATTTTTGGAATTTTTGTACGTAAAGTACGTACGTATCATTTCTCTAGGATATTAGTAAAGTAGTACAGTACGAAAACCAAATTAGAACGGACGTGTAGAAATCAAGATGAAAAAATTCGTCAACCCAAAGGTACTTTTCCTACTAACCCAACATGAAGCAAGATATATCCGTCCAATTTGTATTGCCGTACAGTCTATCCTTTCTATGAAAATATTAAATGTTTTATTTGGTTTATTTCAATAGAACTTACCTAGACGACCCGGGTACGTTACGTTCCACCGGTTAAAAAACTTGAATTATACCCGGGGATATATTGTTTGGGGGGGTGGTATTGTAATAGGTAGATTTCTTCTGTATAGCTAGATATAAATTACTAATCAAGGAACCCCGAGTCTCTTACATTAAATTCTTAACACTGGTTTAGACCCGGTTATAATAGAGGGGGTCTACTATAGGTCTAATATCAAGGGTATTTTATATATGGCCATTTACGGTACTTCAATAGTCATATGATATTTAATCGATCATATACCAACACTAAAACGTCATATGCGCATATTTTATGCACGTTATACATTTAGAGACGACTATGGCCGACTAGTTTTGATGCAAGCCGAAATAATTTCGACCATATATATATATATAGACAGTCAATTTACCTACGGATAAAGTGTATTTATTTTGCGTATTATATTAAATGTATAGATTAGCATTTCAATTAAGCTTATTTTTTTTAAGAGTATCATTTTCCAATTACCGTCATTGAACATCTAAAATTTTATCAAAATTTTATCTCATGATATTCCGCCAATCAAATTACAATAATAAAATAACAATGAAGCCACGGGGTGCTTATTCATGATCGATAATTTTTGTTATATAGGGTGCTTATTCGCGATGGGTGCTTATTTACGATAGGATACGGTACGTATTAATTAACGTACGTACTTACGTCAGTTTTCACAGACATAGTAGGTTACCATTTCGTGTAACCCGAGCTTCCGGTCCTCGATCGGCTGGTTCGGATTCGGACTTCGGATTGACCTACGAAATGCTAATACAAGCATAATGCAAACTAGCTAATATTATGCAAAATTACGATCTGAGCAACTTTACTTAGCTTATCGGTTAGCGGGTTTATTAGTAAAATTCGCTAAAATTTGGTAATTTTCGGGCATAATTAATTGGGTCCGGAGGCCGGGTTACACGAAATGGTAAAATTTTTTGGACATCACTAAACTACTGTACTATCACCGACACGAGTAAATTATAATGCAGATTTCTTTAAGTAATACGTATTTTTAACATAGATCACGACAGACTTATCATTATACATATAATATATTTTACAATAAATTGAATTCAAGTGCTTCTTTTATCGTTGCGTATTTTCATTAGCACCTATCGTCATAAATTTCCAAACTTATAGTATTCTAACCAATAAAACCTTTAATTGAATACTAGAAACCTTCATTAATTAATAGAAAAAAAAAGAAGTTTGGTGAACAGAAATTATTATAAGTGTTTAAAAGTGTTTAAAATATTCTAAAAAATCTGAACCTTCAGTGCAAACTCGATATTCAAACATTGGGCGATTCATACTTTTTTTAGAATTACTCATATTTGCATAACAGAGGAATTCCATTAATTAAACAGGAGAAAAAAAAGCCGAATTGAGATTTTTTTTTACCAAGTTGCTTGCAAATTTGGAATTGGTACGTATCCAGCAAATGAACTCGAACCACTAGACATAGATTAGGTATCCAGATCTGTTGTTTCAGACAAATGGATGCCAAACAGATTCTTGCCATTGTTGAGGATACCAAATTATACCCTTGTTGAAATAAGTTCTAGATATACTGTATCTTATGCGTGCAATGCAAATATTAATTTAATCGTTGAAATATTGTGTGTAATTATAAATTTGAATGTGTTTAAGTATGCGTGTCGAAAATTTGAATGCAAGTTATGCAGTGTCCTGTGTTCTTTTGCTACGGGGTAGTGATTTTGGCCGATCAAAATTTTTCGGCTATGACTAAGCCAATAAATTTACCAGCATAGTCGGCTTAGCAGATTTTAAAATTACACCATTTAATTCGGACTTTACTGTTGCTCATATTTTAGGTTTATTCATTTTCCACCTCGAATGCTACAATTCTAATAATAAAATCGATCAGCCATTTTAAAAAAATCGACCGGCTAAGCCGATAATTGGCTTTTAGCCGATTTTTTCACTATCGGCCGGGACAGTACCGACGATCCATCTATCGGCGTGTGTTCAAATTACCAAATTTGGGGGACGTCTAAAGCGGAGGCAACTTATATTTAATAATTTTTTCGATTAATTTAGGGTTAGGGTCT